AGCTTAACCAACAGACTCAACCAGAGCCGTAAATCACAGTAGGAATTAGCAGAAACAACAACAACAAAGGCAGCTCAGGATGCAGAGAAAAGTTTGTCTTTTTTCTTTCTAAGTGCATCTCAGGGCTTTGTTAGTATTGTACACTTCCTGGCTGTAGAATGGTTGAAGTGGGACAACGTCTGCAAGCAAAGTTGGGGTTTGGAGAGGCACATTTGGAGTCACAGCTACTCGTTCAGCTGACAAAGCCGTTGTTTTCATCTTGACTTTTTGCAGTCGGGAACAGCTTTCAATGCTACCAGCCTCTTAAGTTTCCCTGCTGCCGCTTTTAGACTTGGAGTCAGCTGCTCCAAACCCCTGAGTTTTCTCAGCATCGGGCGTGTTTTTGCTTCAGAGCCGTCTCCTCCTGCCCACACCCCCTCCCACTCCACCCCAAGTGCTGGCGCTGGCTCTGTTCTCCCCCAGCCACCCCCGGGACAGGGAGAATGAAGCATCTCCCCATCCTGTGGCTGCGTGCGAGGGGAGGCGAGCCACCAAGGGCAGCTATTGTTCCACTAGAGCCAAGGAGCTGAATAGAGCTGCTCGTGCTCCACGGGCTTCAGCTCTGGCTTTTCTGCATTCCAAACCGTCTGCGGCAGAGAAAACAGAGCAGGAGGGAAGCATGCAGAGGCTGTGCTGACTTTCTGCTTGGCGCGGTGGTGGGACCATGGTGGAGGGAGGAGGATTGCAGAGGAATGCAGCTCGCAGGTGAGATCCTTCCTGACATCACTGTGCAGATAGGGATGGGGCTGCTGCAGCTGTCCGGTCAGGCAGGATGGGGCACATAGGTGTTGTGCTGGAAGTTTGAAGTGACTAGATTGAATGTAATTAGAAACTTCAAGGGTTCTGAGCTTTTCCTCACTGCTTATCTGTATCTACCTTTTCCATTTTAGTTTCATACGTAGTGTTTTTTAAAGGCATGCTTGCACGCGTTTAAGTAGTTGGCAGAGAGAAAATTGGTAACTGGTACTTTTCTGCTGGCTGGCATGGAATTGAGGTGTGTGTTAGTATTCAGCCCTCACACAGATGAGAAGGAAGTTTGCGTGCTGGCTTCCAAAGGTGGCTTATTGCTCCTTACGTTGTTGGGTTGACAGTCTCTCCCTCTCCCTGAAAGGCTTTCCTTACCTCCCATACATCACTACGTGCATGCTGCTGTATGGATGTCAGGTCTCTGGATGAGGCCAGGCGTCCCTCTTGATGGGTAGCTGTGGGAATGTCTCTCAGGGTTTACCTGCTGCTGGCACTGTGTGATGTTTCCAGCGTGTGATATTGCCAACCTGGCTTCCTGTCCTCCAGCGAGCACTGGTAAATCAAAGCAGTTCAAGCAATCCTACAGGTTGCTCCTAAATACAAGAGGATTTCTTTTTCTGTACAGAAGTGCTGCGTGCTTTTCTAACGGCCTTTGTGTTAAGATGTTAAATTACAGCAAGCTAGAAAGCACTTTATTTTCATGCCTTTTGATCTAGTTAAGATATTTTTCAGAGACTGCATGAGCAGTAAGCGATACCTACCAAAACCAAGAATGAAAACTTCACAGTTAAATTTTTTCTACCTTGGAAACAGCTTTTAATAGGTACTGATTATGAAGTCCTGCTTTTCCTCCTCTCCTGTAGACCAGGGAGAATACTAATTTGCTGACTCGGAGGGACTGTTTTTGTTAGCCTGAACCAATGAAGTTGTGCTGCAGCTGCTTTTGAATTACACGATTAGAAAATGAAAACCTTCTGCCTTAGCTTTTTTGGAGCAAACGTGTATCTTCCCAAATCAAGCTTTCAACAAAGTTTAGAAGGACTCATGGCAACACACTCCTTGGCCCTTTCAGGTTTAATTTAGGTGATCTCAGGGTGGTTGCCAGGATGTACCCTTTAGAGTTTCTAATCTTTGGCTCTGGGCAGCCTGGCTGGTGACCCTGCCCACAGCAGGGGGGTTGAAATGAGATGATGTCCTTTTCAACTCAGGCCACTCTATGATGATTTTACGATATGGAATTGAAATTACTGGCGATCTCTTGAAGGCAGATGTGAGTAGCAGCGTTTCAGATTCTTCATGTTGTGCCTGGTATTTATGTGGTGCTCTGAGGGGGCTCTTGTATTTTCTGTCTCTAAAGTATGGGAAGGGGAAAGATGCGTAATTCTGATGAATGCTTGAGGTGACTTCTTTCAGAGAGATCTGTCATGGCTCTTTAAAGTCCGTGGGAACAAATCAGCTTCATCTGTATGTAGGTGGGAGGAAAGGGCATTCTGGTACACCGAGGCTTGACCTGCTCACTGCTGTTCTCTGATAGCTGGGGGTGAGCATAACATCAGCTGCAGAGTACAGAAGTCAGAAAATTATGTGCTGCAGGAGAACACGGTGAGCGGATGGTGTTAGTAAATGGCTTGTTGGCATCAAGAGATGGATCCATTTTCTAGCCTGTAGAGGTACATACCTTTTCAAAGCTTTAATTCTCCACAAAGGGAATACTTCCTTTTATCTTTTATCCAGATTTCCTGACTAATTGGTATCAAGCAGCACAAATGTTTTTTAGGAGAGCTAATAATGGTGGGATTTGAAGCTGGGCCAATGGCAGAACGGAGACCTAATGATCCCATTCCACTTAATTTTCTATGTGTTTGGGTGACTGCTTATAGTAAGGGAGAGAGAAGGAGATCTGCACGAGGAATCAGCAAGCAGACGATGCAATTATAGTTTCTGCATACAGTATCAGCAGTATTGTTTCCAAAAGTTAAATGTTCAGCGGACTTCCAGTATATGAATTTAATGGGAAACGGTGGTGGAATTGTCATGGTAAACCTAGCTGTAAAATCCGGGTTGTGGGCTTCTGTAATAGCTGATTATCTGAGCAGATAATGGCATCTACAAATAGCTGTGTCGAGTCTACATAGAGTTTCCTTACATAGCTGAACAGTGCTGCTCCTTACGCAGTGGATCTATTGTTATGCCACACAACATTGCATTTTTCTCCTCCTGCACCTGCAGCGAGCTCAGCAGGGTCTGAGGAGGGCAATGTTGGGACATGGATGCTTGCCAGAGAAATGAAACAGCTCCGTGGTGCATTTGCCTGGAGTAGACCTCTGGGCACCCTTCAAGTGTTGCCAACCACAGGAGTTCCAGTCTGGCATAGGAAAGAGGAGATTGAAGATACTCTTGTGTTCATTTTCCTGCTGGTTCTGATCTGTTTTAGAGTATGCTTCAGTCAGATTTTCAGCTCAATTGCACTCTGTGAAGACCAGGTCCTTTTTCTAGGGTGGAGGCTGGAATTGTCTACCCACTTGCTTGATTCCAGGAATAATTGGCTACAGGAACAATGCCAAATGCTGCAAAATACACCATGATTCCAGTGCCAGCTTTTTACAGCATTCATGTTCCTAAAGCCGTGCCCTGTTAAGTCATGAGGTCACTCTGAAAAGTCAGATGCATTCTCTAGGCAAGCTTTTGCCAGGGTGTTCAAGAAAACTCTTTAAGGTACAGTCAGCTGGAAATTAAGCCTGTGTCCAGGAGATGGAGGACTTGGTGTTGGTACATCCTCATAAAAATTTGCTAATCTGTACTGTCTCTTGTTGTGTTCCCTTCCTTCACCACTAAATATGGTCCCTAATTTGGAAACAGATTAAGGATTACAAACAAACTCCATATACTGCCTTTCTTGTGCTTATCTTTAATGTTTGGAAAGACCTTAGGCTTTGGCAGTTGCGTTATTTTGATGCTTGCACAGAGATTAAGACAGTATTCTTATAAACACAGGTGGAACTGAGTTGTAAGAGGGAGGGAGGCTGCATGATTCATAGGCAGGATAGGAAGCCATATAGCTGGCCATAACCACTCATTCTCCAGAATGCTCCAGCTTCTTTGCTGCATACCTGGTAAGTGCAACTGCATGCTTTTGGGCTACTAGACACTGACAATTTCTGGCTGGTGGTTTTCTGTCTTGTTTCCTGGTGCTGGAGGTGCAGGTTGTTGTGAATTAGTCTTTTTTTTATTGTCTGTGCCAATCAAGACGAGTTCACCTCCCACCTGACGACGTTGGTAAGACTGTGGTTTCTCACCATACAAAAGGAGCAAGCTGTGACCTCAGGGTGGAGTAGAGTTCCCTATTGGCACAGCAGCCTCAGCCCTGCTCTGCAAGAATCACTGGTATTTAGTTTGTTCTGAAAACAAGCAAGTTGAACTTCTTGTGGGAGTGCTACATAAAGCTAGCATTACCATGCACTGAAGCTTGCAGGAAGAGGGGAAGCAATCTGTGAGCTATTGGGGTTGGTGTGGCAACTCCTGCATGATCCCAGCAGGACTTTAAAAAATTGTGTGGTCAAGTGGGGATCATGTATTGGTTTTTTGTTTGTTGGAGGTGCTGTACAGTGAGTTTGTAATCTCGGTGAGAAAAAGGTCTCCTAGCTGTTTCTCTGCTCTTGTTGAAGTCTGTGCCCAAGGATGGGCAGTAGGCCTGAAAGTAAGAGTGCGGAGCAGCATGAATGAAGCTGGTATTCCAACAAAACTGCCTGCATTATTTTCACTCGTGTCTGTTTCTGAATTTGGGCAAAATGAAGCACTCAAAGTATTTGAGCAAGAAAAGTTGTTTTCATTTTCCATACTTGACTGCTGCATTGGTGGGGAAGTGCTTTGCTATCCAAACAGGAGCCCATGGGGCAGTTTACTGCAAGACTTCCTTTCTCCTGCCTCCTTGTTTCCTGTTTTTGACAATTTGTAGGAAGTCAGCATCTCCAAGTGGAGACGGGGCAGGGAGAGGTGGGTGCTGCAGCTCATGGTCCGCATGCAGTGTGTTTTCCTTGGCAGTTAATTCTTTTCAGATTATTTCCTCCTCCTTTGTAATACCTGCTAGTCATGGAAGAACAGCCAGCAGAGCTACAGCTGAGTCTTCATTGCCTGGGAAGGTTGATTTTTCTTACACAACCACAGAGATGCAGGTCTGACAGACATAAGAAAGGGAGGAAGCTATGCTGTTGGAGTTTTTTTTTTTTTTATTTGCCTGTTTGTTTGCTTTCACAGCAAGTATTTGTAGTTGTTTTTAGCATTCTCCAATATAGAGAAGTGCTGTAATGCAGTGGCAATCACAGTCCTCCTGGTTTCAGGGTTCAAAAATTACTCCCCATCTTTCTTTCATGCTGCTTTAAAAAATGGAAGCTCTTGAGTGTTTGGGCTGGATCTTCAGGTTTGTGAAGCAGGGGATGTTACTGGTCTCAGTGGATGGAGGATCAAGCCCTACACGTTGATCTCTTTCTTGTTCTCATCCATTCCTGAAGGTTTGGTATCTCTTGGATGTGTTTCTTCTTAATTTTTCTTTCAGTCTTAAAGCGCTAAATGTTTCTAGCTAATATGCTAGCTCAGAAATCCCCATCTGAAGTGCTTAAAACTCAATTCATTTCAAGCTGCCACTTTTACAACATTACTGAGCAATATTGCTTCCATATCGATCGTTGGCAAATCTGGAAGCGTGTTTTGATAGAGTTTTTTAATTGATTTTTGGTATATTCTTTTTTTCTTTGTTTGAAACACAGCTCCATGTTCTCAAAACATTATCAGTCTGTTCTTCCTTTTGAACACCCATTTTTCTGGTCAGAGAGGGAGAATATTTGAAGGTGTTCTTTGTGAACACATTCTTGGGAAAAGAAATCATCACTTGAAGACCAGCAACAGATATTAAGTCGTCTTTACATAATGTATGTTAAGTATACAGCTGGATGTATTCATACTTTAATAGAAGACTTTAGTTTACATAAGACATGTGGTCACAGTTTGGAAAAGCACTATGGAGTGCATGACTTTGTAAATAATGTCTTCACCCTAATTTGGAATTAAATTAGCTTAATGCTTTTAGAGTAGTCATTAATAGATGCTTACAAACTATCGTAGTACTGGCAGTATAACTTAGCTAAATCCCTTGGCTATACTGAAGCTACCTAACTTGGATTGGGGACAAAAATGTAATTATGTTGGTATGGAAAGGGAAGCAGAGGGGAGGAACAGCACGCAGCTCCATAGTTGCCTCATCAGTGAAGTTCTGAAAATGCAGCAGTCTCCCTAGCAGAGATAGCTGTGTCAGAGCTCCTGATTGCTGCTCCTTGGGTGGCTGTTTTCTGACAAAGGCAGAGCGCTTTTCCATGGCAAAGAGGGCAAAGGATGCTTTGACTTACCATGGCAGAGCTTCCATGTTGCTAGGTCTGACTTTGGGAACTGGCTTCTTTAGTTGATGTGCCCAGCAACCAAAATCACAATAATTCGCCTTCAATTACTGTTGTTATTTTAAGATCATTTGAGGCTGTGGGATGGTTCCTTCAGTGCCTACTGTCTCAGCTCTAGGTAGATCCGAGTTTCTTCTCTTACCTAGTGCTAGACATCCTGGTGACGTGGCTGTGAGAATGGATCTCACTCACTCAGCTTTGATCTTCCTACTACTGTCAAGCATCCTCTTGTTAAGATGTGCCTTAAAAGCAGTTTACAATTCAGCTCCTTAGCAGGTAGCTTTATAGGGGTAGGGATTTGCTGCTCAGTTGCTATGAAGGCGAGGTATGAGCAGCCAGGGGTGGTTTGCCTGGGGGGTTACCTGGGCATGGGAGAGCTTGATAGAGGCTAGGACCTCGCCGTTCCATTTAAATTTTCATTTTGGTTGCTGACCTGCTTGCCTCCAACCCTCTCTCAAAATTAAGTGTGGAAATAGCTTCGTGACATTATTTAAAATGTCACTTACACAAGAGAGCTCTTGCCTGTGTTATTATGTGCTAGAGAACTTCAAGGTTTGTTGTGCTGCTCACCTTCATTTTTTGCCTTCCCGTCCCCATTTATCCTCACAGGCTGTCAATGGGCCCAGCTCCTGCTGCCCCTCCATTCCTTACTGGTCCAGCAGGTAGCATTTGGGAAGTCCTGTACCCTGCTTACGGGCTTAATGTCTGTGAGCTCAGCTGGGTTTTGAAGGATGTACTCTGGAAGGTAATGGGACCACAGCATCATATTTTACCAGTGTAAACATCAGCACGGTGGCACGTGGAGGTTGTCATCTTCAGCTGGTTGTGAGTGCTGAGGATTCCTGGCTGTGCTAAAATCACATCATTAAGCAATCTGAATGATTAAATAGGAGATGGTAACGTGCATTTGGGCTAGCATGCTTTGCTTTCAGCAGCAGAACAGGCAGGCGCCCATCACTCCTACAGAAGGGCCATCCTGGTTGCTCTGCCCTGTTCCAGAGGGGCTCACCTGAACAGTGATCCTGCTCAGCTGCTTGTCATGGTGGTACAGCCTGGTTTGCTTATGTGGCTTAAGCTGGAAAGTTATCTGTGTCACAGAATAGTTGTGTGTCCTTCCATGGGGATTCCATAACGCAAAATGGATTGCTCGCCCTTATCTGTCCACATTGCTCTTGAACCAGATTACAGCATGCTTAGAGGCTGTTAAGTTGTGCTACTGCTTCTCCAAACAGTATGTTATTCCTATTAGATAGGCATTTAAAATGATTTAATGCAGAAAACAGCACCTTTTGTGTCTAGAACTGACGTTTTTAGGTACCTGGCAAGGTTGCTTTAAAGCTGGCTCGCTTGTGCTGTCCTGTGGCATTGAATAGGATTGAGAAGTTATTGGCATTTTTGTGGGGAAAATGACAGAAATAACTTCTAAAGGACAAGTGCAGAGGTGAGCCTTGTTCTCTGGTACGTATGACATTGATCCAGGAGTTGGAAAAGCGGATGTTTATTGCATCTTGTGGTTTTAACAAGTGCTGCAACCTCAGGCAAGCTTTTATACATCTCCGCCTGCCTGCTTTTGGGGAAAAGAGCATTAATATTGCCTCTGCCTACTCACCTTGCCCCCAGGCTGAAGGAAGAACTTCGTTTTTCAAGTACATAAGCAGCCTGTCTTCCTTCCCTTCTAAACTGCCTGCATAAGATTTCAATAAGAATGACTTGGGTGTGCATTCTCTAATGTATATTGCTGTGAAGAAATCACCAACTGACTATAGCAATATCCATCAATCAGCCCATCAGTCTGTCCCCAGTGCAAGCAAGATCCATTTTTCCTTTCCTTGTAAGTGCCTCCTGCAGAGAGCATTAATACATGATGATTTATAACACCACTGCTACTTTGTGCTTACAAAGCATCCGCATCAGAAGGCATCTGTGCTCTATTATTTGCATATATTATGAATGATCGTTTTCTAAAATTCGCATAGAAAAAAAATGAGTACTCGTCTTTCTGTGTCGTTTCACTTATCAAGAATGCTAATTTTTAAATCCATGGGATGGCAAAGCTGCTTAGCATCATGGGTTTCGAAATCAGAACTGTAGGAGGGTGACATTTCTGACAACTGCAAGAAGGAGCAGAAGCCCATTCGCTGGTGGTAATTTAAGGAATTACCAGTTGGGGATGTGCATAGGTTTTAAGTTGTTAGTATTTATATAAGAGGTTCAAAAATGTAAAAGCTTGCTTTAAATTTCAGCCTCGTGGGCTCATCTGCCTTAGGGCCTCAGGGGTGAGGGAGGTGAACCCCAACTTTTTAATGACAGAACCTGCTGTTCTGTAGGCTGCTTTTGGAGAACAGCAGCCTCTTGAGGCAGTTAGCTGCTGCTTCTCCCTGGTTGTTTTATCATCACTTTGCTGGTCTCTCCCACCTTTCTGTACCTTTAGGCATCAGTGAAGGATGCTTTTATATTTTGCATGCTTCCCCTCTGGTTGCTGAGGCAATTTGTATCTATATTTGCATCACTTCTACAAACTTTTTTCCAGCGTAGGTCGTTGTCACAGCGTGGAAACATAAGGTATGTTTTGAATATTCCCCCTGTGCTTATTTGCAGCTTCTCTCAAAGCCCAGCAGCCCTGGCAAATTTGAGTAAGTCTTCTTGAAGGCTTTTGGTAAGCTCTGGAGCTCACAACACCTGCTGTAAGGTGGAGAAAGAGAAATTGAAGAAGTAATTCAGTGCTGCTTCTGCCTGTGGCAGGCTTTAATGGGAGACCAATACTACTCCCCTTCTCCAGTCCCACAGCAAGTTTCATCTTCTTTGTTTTCCCTACAGCAAAAGGTTTCAAAATTAAAATCGATGCTACAGAGGAGTTTCAAGGTATTCCTGAAGTGATTGTTTGAAACCAGACACTGTGTAAACAGGGGGAAACTTCTGATACCAGAGTTTGATAATGGGGAGTGTTAAAGCATGGAAACATGAAGCAGTGCCCAGTGGTTAAGAGATGAGGCCAGATATATTCATTCCTGGAGATCTGGGAGCACGTTGCTAACCACACGTGCAGCTCACCATTGGAACAGTGTGTCAGGGGGACGGGCGATGCTGATGCTTTGTCTTTGCAGTGTCTGTTGAAATCAGATGTCCTTTTTTCTGATGTGCTTTTGTTCAACTGGAAATAATGCAGCAAATGGAGGAGAGCCCCTGGGTGATGTCCTCGAGGTGTTTCGAGTCGGTCAGGTTAGATGATGTTAATCATGACGTGATCCCCACACGTTGCCTCAGGAATGCAAATGTCACTGTGTGCCTGGGAATAGCTTGGGTGCCTTTTCATTTCCCACTTATGTGTTATGCACTTCAGCCTGGCTGAAATCTTTGCTGGCCCTGCCTCCATTTTCTTACCCTGTTTTCCACGCTCTCATATCTTCAAGTGCTTCAATAAGCCATTTTCATACTTGATGGTTAATATCCTTACCCTCTTGACATGAGCACTTGTGATGAATTGAAAGGGATGCGTAAAGCTGGATCATGATACAAGGTAAGGCAGCTGTGGAGGAAAGCGTGTGCCCAATCTGCACTCCTAGAAAGGACAGAAAATTCATGGGAGTGAGAAGCATTCATAGGAAATCAATACTCTTAACTTTGTTTTCCCTACAACCTCTTATTTATGAAAATGATAGATAACATGGCAAACTAAACCAGCTTTTAGTGCAAGAGCTGTCAGCATTTTGGGGCACCAACTTGTTTCACAGAAAACTAGAAGGGAAGAGGTAAAATTCTTTCAAGTTGACCAACTGGATAGAGAAAAACAGCCACGTAATCCTCGCTCTGAGAGCTGCATTTAATTCCATTCTTATCACAAGGAGATTGACGTCATCAGTTTGCACATCCGTAACTCAAAGAAGATTCTGCTTGTGGAAGTTGGACAAAATGTCATCCTCCTCCACACGCAGGGAAAATGTGTTGGAAAAGCTTGCTGTCAAAACAAAAAGGTTGGGTTTTGCATTGGTGGGAAAGCATATTTAGAATCATAACATTACTTAGGTTGGAAAAGACCCTTAGGATCATCCATTGACCCATCCCTACCGTGCCCACTATCTCAGTGCCACGTTCACATTGCTCTTAAATACCTCCAAGGATGGGGGCTTAAGCACCTCCCCAAGCAGCCTGGTTTTCAATCTATTAGATTACACAGGCAGTATTTCTGTTTTTTAAAACCTTCTGTCCGCTTTCAGGGTTGGATGTGCACTTTTCCAGGGTGACCAGGGGGATTGCTCAGCTGAGCATCTTGCTCCTGCACCGTCGGTCCCCCATTCCCTCATTAATTGTGCATTCTGTGCAGCATCTGCCCTGCTTGGCAGGTGTGTTATGAAAATATCTGTCCTGCGCAAGCAACACTTTGCTACAGTTTGTCTAAGTAATTGGAATTCTCTTCCCTGCTGGGACTTCATAGCTCTTTTTTCTTTTTTCCCCTTCGTTGGTTGGTTAGTAACTAATTCTCCACCTTGCTGATCTAATGCTTTTGTTGTTGTTTTGGCTCGGGATTTGGGCAGGGTCAGCACGTGTCCTACTTTGCAACAGGGGATGGCAATGATATGAATTCTTTAAAATAAAGGCAGTTTCAGAAGCTGATGCACGAAAGGCACTGTCTCTTTAAAGAGCGCAGTTTGATCTGAGCATCAGCTCCATCCCCTGAGGACAAAGGCAATTTTGATTTGTGGGGCCCGGGAGTCCCTCACTTACCAGGATTCGTGTCTGCTTCTGCATGTGGAAACCTGTAAAACGCTCTTTTGTGTGGAATAAATCATACCCTATAAATCCCATGCAATTAAAAGTGCCCTCCGTAAAGTCACGATGGCAATTGCTCGGCGCAGGTCTGTGCAGGGCAAACTCGCTGTCTAGACAGAGCAAGATTATTTTCCATTTCTTTAAAATTTAAAAGAAAAAAAAAAAAAGAAAGATAAAGGAGAGAATGGACTGTTAGCACTGCTGCTTCGTGAGCTGCAGTGGGCAGTGCCCCCTCCCCACCACCTTCGCAGCCCAGAGAGGAGCGATTCCCCGCGCCGTGCTGCCGGGCGGAGGCAGATGCCATTATTGCCGATCAATGCCGCCATGCAGGAGGAGGGGAGAGGGAGGGGTGGGAGCTTCCTCTTCCCAGATTGATCAACCTGCCATTGCATGAACAAATGCATTGTAAGAGAGGCTGGGGTGCTGGTATAATAGCTGGAGCACAGAGGGGCTTGTGAGCAGGGGAATGCTGGCTCTTCTGTAGTTGGGGGGGGGGATTGGAATCATTTTTTCTTTTAGCGTAAAGCATAAAGCCTGAGCCTACAAACAAAGCCAACACGGGAGGGGGATGGCAGGGATACAGCACACTTAGCTGAGGAGCTGTTTTGCTTACTTATTTGAGCTTTGTCAGCTCTGAAATCTATTTTTTTTTTTTTTAATTTAAACCGATTCCATCATAACCTGCGACCTCCTTTGGATTTTCAAACCTTGGTTTCCCCGCTCCCCTTTTTTGCCTTCTTCTCTGTTCCTGCCTGAACTGAAAGCTGACACAAAGAGACAACAAGTGCAGATCCCCCCATGCCTGCCCCAGCACTATGGGCCGTCAGGTGCGGGGCTGAGCGCGCGGGACAGGACTGCGCTGGCGTGTTGTCAGTGTAGGCAACAACTGGAGCACTGGAATCCCGAGACCACCCGCTCCTCCCCGCCCTGCCTACCCTGCTCCGTTCACTCGCTGTTGTCTGTATGGAAAAGTTTTCTGGCTGGAGAATGAGTCTCCTTTCTCCCGGCGATGTGGCCGAGTGGCTGGATAGCAGCACAGAAGATGAGAAAAGCCTTCTGTCGTTTCTCGGTACGGTAGGGTGCTGATTGTTCTCGTTTTGTTTACATTTGACTGGCAAGCCATTACTGCTTTCAGTGGCATTAATTTCTTCACTCCTTCAATTACCAGATGTTAATTCTTTGTAAAAGCTTTTAAATGATATGCAGTTATTAATTAAACCGGCTTAGAATCTGCTTAAAATAGTTGCGTGCGCACTGGGCAAAGGTCAAGCTGCAACTGGGCAGTGCCATCTTAGTTCAGCACAAGGTCTTTTTTGGACTCTGAAGTGTTTCTTAACAATGGGTTTTTATCCCTCTATGCCATCTGACCACCTTATCCCTGCTTTCACTCCACTTTACCCTTTGCTGTCAGCTTGCCTGCAATTTCGCTTCCCAACCGCGCGACGCTCGGACGGTAAATCAAAGAGGAGACTTTGCTGAAAGTTTTTCCTCCAAAGAGAAATGCCTCGATGCGTTTGGAATAAAGATCTCAGCCAAGGGATCAGATGCTGCTCTACTCTAGAAATTAGATCTAGGGAGTGCAATCAAACAATCGTGTGCTCTGTTTCTGCGTTCATACGCATCGATTTAACTTTATTCAAGGAGGAAATTGAAACTGCTCTTTTATTTGCAGTCCAACATAAATACCAGCAAGAAGCTGAAACCGCTTTCACACGAAGAAGCTGATTATTGTTTTGTTTTTTTTTCCCTTTCAGCTATTGGTATTTCAGGCTGTTGGCATTTGTTTTTATTCTTTCCATCTCATCTCTGCACATCATTCCATCTCTCTTCCATGTTTCGTTGTTCTCAGGATGCATTCTGCTTCTATTCTGCTTTGATAATGAGAAAGCCTCATACGCATCCTCCTTTCCCTCTTGATGGACTACTTAAAGTAATTTATTTGCTGCATGTTTTTATTTACTTTTGCCACGATACAGTAGTCACCATTATGGATCTTTCACAGTCTAGGAGGCAGCAGCCCATCTAGATGTACTTTTTCCCTCACTTTTGTTATCTCCATCCAGATTGCCTGGTCCTGGTGTTGCTGTGCTCTTTCCAGAAAGCTGGATTTACAGTATTTCCTCTATGTCAGCAGCTTCAGAGAGGTACAGGTGGGAGGACAGTAAGCGCTCCTGGAGTCTGTCCGTGTTTGCTATTTCCTGTGTGCTGAGGCCTTCTTTGGGAATACTGTATTGAATGTGAGCTGGGACAGGAGCATGCATGGACTGACACCAGTGCTGTTCTTCAGGGCCTGCTTTCCTGCACCAAGAGGCCCTTCTAAGCCTCATCACAGAAATATTTATTAACGTGGAGTTTGGAGAGTGTCACAAGGTGGCATTTTTTTTTTTTTTTACCTCTTTTATCTTAAGGAGATAACAGCTCCCAGACACTGTCTTAAGTCCAGAGCCCCATTAAAGGTTCACTGACATCCCTCAGATATCTGCTGTCCGTGGAGATCTTTCTGTTTGTGTGTCCATGAGAATAACTCTTATTGCTGAAAGGTGAAATGCTGCCAGAGTGAGCAAGAGCTATGGTCACTCCAGCTTCTGTCCCACTGAGGGGAATGGGGAATAGCTGCAGAGCCTTGATGCCCCCAGGAGCCAGCCTGTGTGAGAGCATCCCAATTACCAGAGCAAAGGCTTGCTGCTTAGAGAACACCTTGATTCACAGCCCTTTCACAGAGAGAAAAAGGATCATTTCTGTAAGATGTGGCTCAAGGCTGTTGTTTAATAACAAGGATAATAAATATTGAAATCATACTAATGCGTGTCTAAGTCGTAAGCCTCTCAACAAATTACGCTGCGGGAACAAGTTGCCATGCATCAGTTGATCTGTGTTAATTGTCTGTGTGCAATCTCTCTGCAGCAAACACAAGGTAATTTAAATTAGCAGGGGCAGTCCAAGATCGTTAGGAGCTAACGAGGGCATCAGCATCTCCAGGTCATGCGTGGTGTGCTCCTCGTATCTGGTTATGCCTTGGCACAGCAGTCCTGCCAATTTATACTGCTGTGCATGGAGTCAATTGGTGAAGGAGATTTCGAGGCTGATGAAGGTTAAAGAAAAGAAAAAGGGCAGCCATTCCAGCTTTCATGCAGAGGACACGTTGGACAGCTAGGGGCACACGTATGTTTCATTTCTGACTTGCATTTGTAGAGCTAGAGGGTTTTTTCCTCCGCCTCAAAGTGAGCGCATCAATCTGATAACAGCTGATGATGTACTCATGAAATGCCACGTTCAGTGTCTGCAGAACATTCTCCATAAAGGGATTGTGATAGTCAGTGCTTGAAAGCCAATTTTTTTTTTATCTTCTGTGATATTCTTGCCCTTTCTTCCAGCTTCATCTGTGCGTTCATCTGCTCTGCTTGTTATGTCTTGTCTTTCAGACTGAACTCCTTGGGAACCAATGACTTAACATCTTGTAAGTGACTCAAATTGTCACTTGCATTGCTTGCTGTGCACCTTCTGAATTGGGCTCTAATTCGGTTTCATTTTTTCAGATGCCAAAGCAATGCAGGTGTCTAAGCAACAGAATTACCTGCGTGCACACTAAAAATCACCCGGATGTTTACCTGGATCATCTTGTCCAATCGACTCGATCCTCAGTGATGCATAGTCTCTTCCAATGGACTGGAAGAGGTTTTGATCATAACTGGTACCCAGTAGTAGTTTGATGGTGGAGTTCTATAGCAAGTGAGCTTCTCTGGGCTTCCTTTCTATTTCCCTTTCCAGCCTTGGTGGCTTTTGTGCAATTCAGTATGCTGTAACTGTGGCTTTGTTGTATTTTCTCAGACATATCTTCTCTTGGCTTTTTTCTTCCTATCTAGTTATCTCAATAAATGAGGAAGAGCTATCGCTGCGAATTTCACTTTCCTCCTTTAAGTTGTACCTGCTAGAATTTACATAATGTGTTCAGAGCACAAGACCTCAGATTGAATACAGATCATACTCTGCATTTGCTTTTAGCCTGGGTTTTTACCCAGGCATTTAATTGTTGTTACAACAGTCTGTGAGTTGGGCCCCCGTCTGATTGTTTTCCCTAAGTGAGTAAAACAAGATAGAAAACGTACTCCAAGATAAAACATGAATGGCTTTATTTATTTTTATACGAGGCTTGCTGTTTCATTAGGCAGTGCTCATCTGAAATATGCTGCTTGGGCTGCACATATCTCCTGATGCCTGCTTGCTTTCTGCTTTTTATTGCTACCTGTAATTTTGTTGGCTCTTAGGCATTTTCACCGTGGTAGAAGAAATGGTAAGTAAATACCAACTGCACCCGACGAGATCTCCTTCTCATTAGAGCTGTCATTTGAGCGCTCTGAAACAACCCTAAGGGGCCAACGAGATAAAAATAACCTCTTCTGTTTTGATGAAGTTGTGGATGCCATGATGCTACACTCCATTAATATGCTGCACACACTGCATGCGTGCGTGCACGGAGATAGATGTAGGTGTGTGAGGTGAGCCAGCCACCAGGGCTGAACAAGCACCTGCATTACTTTTGCCCTGTGTAGTTGCAGCTCGCCATGAAAATAGCTAATAAAAACGTCATAGAGCAGAAAGGCTGCATCTCTGCTCGGCTGCTCGTTTGGCTGTGCAGCGAGCTCAACTTCCAGCGTGCTGCCTTTGTAAAGCAAGAAACCAGCTCTGTGTTCCTGTTGTCTGTGAGATGAATATTGCATCCCAGTGGTTTGTCTCTGTAGTAAACCACTCCGCTGGTGGTTACCTATATGAATAACATCTTCAAAAACTCCAGCAGCAAGCCCGTAAGCGCTCCAACTCTTCCAAGCAAAGCTTGGAACCCCTAATTTCTCAAAGTGTGTTTGTGAAAGAAGTCATGAGTCACAACAAGTCAAGTGCTGCAGGGTTTTATTGTGCGTTTGCATTGTAGCTAGTCTGTATGACTAATTGGCCTTTTGACAGAGGAGAAAATAGTGCTGGAGATGGCCTTGAAATCCTGTGTGTTCTGGTCTGTGGCTGTGGCTGCAGTAGGGCAGCCTGGTAAGAGGCCTCTAGGCATTATTGTATTCTAAAATGTAAAGGAAGCCGTCTGTGCAGACAGGTTTTGAAAACAGCATGGCTGTTTTCACCTTTAAGGTGAGTAAAAAGAATAATCAATTACCATTTTCTCATAGGTAGCTATGGAAAGGGGGTGAAAGTATTGGGGTGGGTGCTTCTTTGGTCCGTGTCGGCTGGGGATGTTTGAATGCCACTGCACCTGAGAGGCAGTCTTTGCCTATAGCTAAGTAATTGGTGGCATTGAACTGGTTTTGTATTTTTCAGATGCTTGTAATTAAGCTAGACTCGAGAGGCGGAATGAATTGATTCTTTTTTATGAATCACATTCTCTATTCCCTCCAGTCGCAGACCAAAGCGCTGTCATATCAGGATGTGCACAGATGAAAAAAGGAAGCCCCAGTCCCTGGGATCCTGCTGTATCTGCCTTTTATTCCCTTAACCAGGAGCTCGCACATCAGCAGTCTGCCCCTTCCCGGCAAAGGCAGCACAAAGATTTCAGAGAAAGATACCTGCAGAATGAACACAGGCACAGATTTTCTTGTTTGCTGGACAGTATCTTTATCTTGGGACTTGCTGCCGTGGCAGGGATGGGATGCTCTGATGTTTGCCGTGACAGAGACCACGACCAGCCCCTTATGAGTAATGACAGATAGGAGCTGTGCTTGCCAACATGCTCACCCCTTCCTGGCATCCCTGGGTGGATGCTTGGGGCTCCTTCCAGCCCCGGCGCGTGGCAGGGTCCTGCTGTGACCCACGGCTGCTCCATGGCTCTGCCTTTGGGGTCAGCAGGACCCCTGCAGGCTTTGTTTCTATGACCTCGTTTACAAGGTCACCAACCTCATTCTTCTCACTCTAACCCCTGAGGATGTTCTTTTGTTCCTGATTGTTTTCCCTGCCCTTCTCCAATCCGTTTCTAATTCAGAAAAATAGAGATGGAGTAGCAAACACCATCCTGCAAAGCAGGGGGGTTTATTTCAGCTTTCCTTCTGCCAATCTGCAAAAAAGCTCTTTACAGTAGAATACAGATTCCCAAAGCATTGTAGCTTTGGGTTTCAAGTGACCAGAGCACGGAGCAGTGGGAAATTCAGATGGAGCCAAAGAGCCACGTCCTGGCTGGAGGTCAAGGAGGCAAAGCACAGTGAGCAAAGCAAGCTGGAGTGTGGCATGGGAAGAGCAGTGCAGTGCAAATGGGTGCAGAGAGCATTACCTGCCTGTGTCACTGGGCACTGCCCTGCAGCCATCCCAGCCTGACTGACTCCTGGGACTAATGCAGCACCAAGATGTTTATTTGCATAAATGTTTATTTGCATAAATAATACTGCAGATCACCAATAAGCCAGGTGATAAATGAAAAGCATCCCATAGGGATGTTTGCAATTCATTGGTTTGATGGAGTTTTCTATTTGAGGGTGGAAAGGGGAAGAGCTGTCTGCTTCTTTTTTCTCCCCCAGAGATTGAGAGCGGATGAGGAGAGTTTCAGAGTGTTTATCCATAGAAACAATGTGATTTAGCTGTGGTCCTGGTCCCTGAGAGCGAGCAATGCAGAGAGCGATTGTGATTTAATACTGAGCCTAGGAGAGGTGCATTGATTTTTACAGCAGGTGAGGATTATGCAAGAACAGCCTCCAGCGCTGCCTGTGCAGTCAGGGAGGGAACCATCTCATTTTTTGCCTGCTAGTGACAGTATAGATTTGTATTTACTTTTTACACAGCTCAGCAGAAATACCGCTCTATGGGCATCACAGCAGATTGCCGTTGGTTAGTGATTTTGAATTAACCTGTCTTGACAATTCTGCTGTATCTGGGTCCTGTTTTGTCCTGGGGACGGAGCACGTTGTCAGTTTGTTCTTGCTTTTTGGAGGAGAAGGGAAGGTAGTTGCATTTTTAGGTTGTTACAGGCACCTTGTGGGCGTCTCGCTTTCCCTTTCCCACTCTTAGAGCAGCAGAAACTCATTGTATTGATGGAGCCTTGTTTCATTGGCTGAGAACCTGCATTGCTTCAGGATGTGCGTGGAGGGAGGAGGGAGGTGAGGAGAGCCAGCAGGTCCCTGCTGTCACTTCTCAGCTCCTTCTGCTTTGAACACCGACTTTTTTGCTGAGCTCCCCCCACCCTGAGCGACCACCTCTTGTTGAGAACAGGGGAGCTTGGGCTCCGGCTTTCATTTATGACTCAGCAAAGCTAACAGGCTGTGTTAAATTACCGAAGCGGCTTTGATGTGATTTCCTGTGGGTGAGGAGTGGAGCAAGCCAAGCCTATTACGTTTCTCATTACTAGTTGATCTAAAAGGAAAGGTGCTCGCCTTGCTCCCCAGCTCCGGCTGCATACATCACTCTTGTTTGCTTTCATTACGTTTACAATGGGAGCAGCAGAAGCCGTCGTTAAATCCTACATAACAGAGCTCCCTTTGGGAGCACAGCACTTCCAGGGCAAGGTGTGCTTAGGGAAAGGGGGATGGCAAGGAGGAGCACATCTGGGATAAAGCCTTCCTTGGGCCCGGGCTGCTGCTGCACACCAGCATTGACCCCACTCCAGGCATTCTGTTTCCTGCGGTGCCCAAGGGGAATCAGCCACCCTCCAGCACCGGGATGGGCAGCGCCCAAAGCTCAGCACCAAGAAATTGTCCCGACACTGCTGTGCTGACTGGGATGCAGCAGAGCTCCTGCCCCATCCCTGCAGCCAGCAGCTCTGCTCTGCTCTGCCCATTCTCCGGGGACAGCTGTGCCATGCCCAGCCGTGTGCTCAGCAGCTCAGTCCCTGCTGGTGGTTCCGAGCTGAGTGCTGGAGGTCTCGTTGGTTAAGAGAGAAATATCTCAGGGTGAGCCACTGCTACTGCAGGGTCCGGCTGTCCTCGCCTCTCAGAATGCTCCATTTTGTTGCTCTCCGAGTATCCAACGGAGATGCGTGTCATAATGCTGCTGAAATCAGTTGGCTGTTTCGAGGCATCACGAGCAGTTGTGTCGCCGAAGGAGGCTTCTCTCTCCTTTTCTTCAGTGATTTTGCCACTCAGCTCCCGTGGCACCGGCTGGCTGCCCGTCTCCGCACAGCTTCCTTGCTGCTCTCAATCGGGAGACGCAGGGAAATTTTCTGTAACGGAGGGAAGCCGGCAGTTGGGCGTCTGTTAATAGCCTGAAAGTAACTAATGAGGATGTGCAGTCGGAGCGATTGATTGAATAGCTGCAGTCCTGTGCTCCCTTTTCACTTGCTCTCTCCCTGCTTGCCGTGGCAGGGAGGGGGAGCGGAGCCCCGGCGTTTTTTTTTTTTGCTGTGGAAGTAGCACGGATCCCCAGGGCCGGGCAGCCAGAAATGGAAGTTTAAACCATATCTGTCTCCTGGAAGGAAAACAGCAGGAGAAAGAACGCCGCTGTCTGGAGTCACGCTTTATTCCTCTTCGTTAAGACTCGGCATTTAACAATGGACTTTCTGCTAGGAAGTAATTTTCTCCCTCCCCTCGCTAGGATGGTTTGTGGAGCTGTGTTCCTTTAAGTCTGGTGATCGAGCCGGAGATGGGCAGCACTTGTGACAAAGGTATCTGTGTGTGTCTGTGTGCATCTCGCTGTGTATCAGAACCCACGTACGTATGGTGCGTGTGCCTTTGTGTGTGACATTTTGTCAGTGGTGTGCATACTTTGTGATAACAAGCCAACAAACGTATATTTTTTTAACGAATATTTGTGCTCATCAGATCAGCCTGTGTGGATTTAAGATGCTGAAGTCGTATCTTAGTAAGGTCATATTGCCAGAATGAGAAGTTGACCTATTTCTTTCTATCTGCAGAGATATATGCTGTATTGCCCGGGCAGCTATGCGTCTTCTGGTGGTTGTGTGGTCCTGCCAAGTTGTGTGATCACAGGAGACCAAACTTTGACCTTTGTCAAAGCTGTGACTAACGCTGAATTTCCTGGTGTCTTGATTTTAGTTATCAGTAAATGAGCGCATCGCTTATGTAGAAAAGAGGAATTTTGTTTTTTTTCTGGGTAGCATCTCAGAAACAGTGATATATGTGTGGGTATTGATCTTCACCAGCGTTTTTATTGCCTCTTGCCTCCAATCAAGCCAGATTCACAACCTTGAGTCTGTCAGTGGAAATGCCATTGTAATTTAGGAGGTAAATAAGACATAAAAACTGGGTGAGTGTAATTCAGCAGCCCGGTGTGCACTTGAAACTTTGCTGAGGCACAAAACCTAACGGATCCCCACCCCCTGCTCCCATTCACCACCTTTTTCTGTTCTTCCTCAGAGGTCCCAGCAGAGAGATCTCCTCGTAGACGGAGCATCTCCGGGACCAGCACATCTGAGAAAACCAACTCCATGGATGCTGCAAATACCTCTCCTTTCAAAGTATCGGTAAGTGTGCTCTTCCTGCAGAGGGGGAATTGTGCTCACCGAATAGGAGGAGATTCAAATATCAACAGTGTATAACTAGGATCTGAAAAATTATTTTCAGTAGAGCAAGAAGTGTTGGTATATCTTGTGAAATACCGTGCGTTATCAGTGAGATTTCTGGTATACCTATAGATTGCTTCTTTTCGTTGCATTGATCTAACGTTGGAAATACAGAACACCAATCTCAGTGTGGGCAGCAGGCTATATAAATACCTGTATAGCTGCTGCCAGGGATTGCATTGCATGCTTGACTAGGCAGAAAGTTGCTTTGGGTAGGTAATACTGTGTTGTTTTACCCTCAAGTCAGTGAGCTACATAGAAAACCAAAACAGCTTTATAGTTGACTTGGGAGCAGGTGAAATCTCTGCAGGTGTCTTAATTGCTCTTTATCTCTTCAGCTTTTGTTACGAGTTCAGTTGGCTGAGAGTCTGCATGAAACGTTTTCAGCTGGTGTGGATGTTCTTGCCAGTGTCAGCCTGTGGTCAGTTTAGCCAGCAACACAAAAGCTTTTTTATTATCAGACCGAGGGCAAACGCCGCAAGTTAAAATGAGAGGCTCAGTAAGCCTTTAACAATAGGTTCTCATGATTTAAACATCTAACTTGAATATTATCTACTTTTTTTGCAAGAAATCTGTCTCTTTTAAAACCTGTGGAAATAAGTTACCTAGAGAACTTTATTTTTTCTTATATTCTCTATAGACATGGGTACCATTTCTGTGTCTCTGTGTAAATTCAAGTCTTGTTTTAAATAACATTCATCCACATTTAAGCACATTTCTTAGCCTGCCTTAGATATAAATGTTGAATTTAGATTGACTTGTACGTTGTATCACCTTTAAAAATGAAAATGGGAATTAAAAAACATCAGGTATGAATTTGTTGAGGGCTATTTAAACTGTAAAGGGGTTAAGTCTGATCAGAGTGTATAGACTATATGTCAGATTTATTGGAATTAAGAAAGGCAATAGAGCAAAGGGCTGTTTCACAGCTCTTCCTGACTTCTGTCAATGGGTGGTGAATGTTCTGATGTCTCTGTTGGTTCCTTTGTAGAGCCATTGAATAATACTGATTGGAAAGGACTTCTGGAACCCTCTGATCCAACCCCCTCCCCACAGCTAGACTAACTCACATCAGGTTGCTGAGGGTGTTTCCAGGCAGGTTTGAAAAGCCCCCAAGGATGTAGGTTGGATGCTTTGCTGGGCAGCCTGCTCCAATGTTTGGTTTCTTATTTGAAGGATATTTCTTTTGTAGAGGCTTTCTTGTTGGATTGTAATTGGAATTTCCAATATCTATTGAAAGACTAAGCATCACATTTTAATCTAGCGAGAAAAATAACTGAATTAACAGATGAAACAGAACATATTGCTTAGCCTGGAGGAGAGAAGATCAGGAGGGAATCTTCACAATGTGTACAGGTACCTGATGGCAGGGAGTAAAGGAAATGGACCCAGGCTCTTCAGAGGAAGGGTGATGAGTACAATATGAAATACAAGGAATTCCACTTAATTGTAAGAAAAATCTTTTTTTTTTACTGTGAGGGTGATCAGGCACTGTAACAGGTTGTCTAGTGAGGTTCTGAAGTCTCCTTCCTCAAAGGTGTATTCAGAACCTAACTGAGCACACGGTGCTCTTGCTTGAGTTGAGCTCTGAGATGGGGGCTTGGACTAGCAGTCTGCAGAGGTGCCTTCCCACTTCAGCTGTTGTGAGATGCTAAGAACCATCCATCACTTCAGTGATCTCTTTTCTGGGTAGTGCTTCTCGAGGTAGAAAGGGCCTCGGTGTGGTTCCATGTGAAGCTATCACAAGAATAGTCTGTTATGTCAGGTTCTGAGAATTTTAATCTGAACCCAAAGTCCACACAGCTCCAGGAGGACTTCTGAACTTGGAGGGAAGGCCTGGCTGTTCCCTTCCTTGTTTATAAGAAATTCTCTGTCTTCTTTGTCTTCATGTATAAGTCATTGCTTTGGCCTGTAGGTGTACCCATGTGCTATGGTTGGACTCTTCACCTAACTGCAAGCTGCATAACCAGGGTGTTTGGTTACTATCCATATTGTTGTTGTTGTTGTTTTCCCATTTTTTGCTTGCTTTTTTAAATTCATCCTATCTTTAAGTAATGTTTCTTAGTTCCCACTTCCTTTCAAAATAAGAACTTTGTGGATTGTTCCTCATTTCCCCATCTGTTTATTGTGCTATCTAGGACTTTGGCTAAGGGGTGAGGTAGTGGCACATGGCTGCATTTCTTGGGCATAAACCAGGAGACATCTAGAAGCTATTTGTGCCACGTGTAGCTGCTCTGTCTGTCTGGCCACCTGTATACCCAGAAGCATAATGCACCCTCCTGTCTTTCTCACAGGGATGGAGCTTCTGACTTGGTAGGTTTTGTTCTGAATTGTCCATTTACGTGTTGTTACTCCTTAGCAGGTTGTGGTGCAGGTGGGGGCTGAGATCACCCACTTTTAAAACACGCCAACTCCGGATCTGCTTAAAAGAGCAAGCTGCAATTAGAAGTCAGGTTGCTTAAGAATACAGATGAGCTCAAATCAAAACTGCAGAAATAATCTACCCATTAACCCTGTGGAGTGGTTATTGCAGATCTATTGAGTGGATGACAGGACAGGAGAAGAGGGCTCGCGTTTCTTTGGTTGCTGCCTCCCAAACTCCCCAGCTCTCAGAAGCAGGGAGGGCATTTGAACGCCTTGTGGAAGTCTCAGACCAGTGGTCTGGGAAGAGCTTTAACTGAAGGATGGAAGTGGGACCTGTAATGGTTTTAAAGGGGTTTGTGCGAGGTGTCGTCTGCGTTTGGCAGTGGTTAGTCGTATGCAGAAAGGAAATGAATAACACCAGAAGCTGCAGTTTTGTTTCTCCGATTGCTGACACCTGCTCCATGGGTTGGAGGGCTGCAAGCAGCTGCAAGGTAGTGCTGTTTCGATTCTGTGGACCTGACTCTGTGCCATACCTCTTCTTCTCCCTGCTTCAACTTCCTCACGGAAAGCAGCTTAAGGCAGGGGACAGCTTAACCTTCATCCATACTGATGAAGAATTATGCTGAGACTTCCATAATAAGTTGCTTTTACAGCTTTTTAAGTTTGCATATCAGTAAAGCTATTTAAAAACCATCTTCTCAGTCGGGCAGTGGCTTCCAGCATGCTCTGTGCCATTTTTTCCCTTCAAACACCAGGCTGTGATACTCCCTCAGAGCGAGGCATCTGTTTTTTTAATACTGCTAATTGGCATTTGTTTGGCATCTGGAATTTGGATTCATAACAGCGTAATGGCCTTTAAGCAAACGTTTCCTTGACGAGACATTTTTTTTTTTTTAATGTCTTCAGTGGCAGTGGTCAAGGATGGATTTATTTCAAGGAGCTGACGTGTAAAGCTCAGGAAATTTGCCTTCCAACGTCTTCCACACGCACTGGAGGAAAAGAGAGAGATTTACACTTGGTACCCTCACTTCAGGACCAACCACTCATGGATCAACATAAGAATGTGCTTTTTCTGGTTCCGTTCCACCTAGGGATGCACAGCGCGCCCAGCTGATAGTATGCAACACATGCAGAGATGGGAGCTCCCATTGCTTGTCCTTTCTCTTCCTTCCCTACTTCCCCAAACATCATCCCCTGCAGTGACATCAGTCCCTATCTGGGTTCACCTGTGCCAAGTGCCACGTGACAGTTTCCACCGTGTCTGTGCCACGAAAGGCAGGAGAACGGAGAGGAGAAGTGTGTACGCGTGCTCTCTCACATTCAGACAGCTGTGTGCTGTTTATAGAAATTCATATATAGGAAAACTCATCTTTTTAATAATGGATCTTACTAGATTGAGCAAATAGGAAGACAGACGGAACTGGCTCAAAGTAGGCACCATGACGCATAGGTGGGCGAGAAACCAGCTTTCCCTTCCCACGCACGCTATGTCCTGGCAGTGTCTCAGTCTCAGTGCATCCCGTTCCCTACTGCTGCACTGCCGGGCTGTGTTCTCACAATTTGCTCTGCCATTGTGCTGGAGCTGGGGATGGTTTCAGGCCTCCTGGCATGGCAGGGTGGAGGGCTGTCAGTGAGCCGCTCTTCAGGCTCACGGCACGCTCTCCAGATTGGCTCTTTTGGATAGGGTTGTTAGGGAATTGTTTCTACAAACAATATATCATTTATGGTTATTAGTAAAATAAAAAAAACAAAGAGACAAAAGCCCACAATCTTTGAAGTAAATAAAATGATTCTTATAGAAATCCTACATGAGTATGATGGGAAGATTGATCCTTACTGCTTGCCTTCCTTGTTTTGCTTTCAGTCGAGAATATAATTGGATCTATAGGAATACAGCCTCTTTGCTCTTTAAGAGTACTGCTAAATGGAACAGAAGACAATGCAGCCAGCCTAAGTGAAGGTCAAAGCCTGATGAGATCTCGCGGCTGCCCAGCCTCATCTTTTATGCAGTCAGCAAGATTGTTGCTTCTCCCAGGCGCTGCTCCGCTGCCGTCATGCTGCCAGGTTAAGACAAGCCATCTTCCCTGGCCATGTGACTTGATGGCCTACAAGTGCATATTTTTAATTCTGCGACAGCTCCAATGCAGAGATGGGGCTGTTGATTTACATTAATGTGAGGCATCGCAGCATCCTTCATGAAAAAGCTGCTCAGAACTGTCCTCCCTGTTGTAAGATTAACATTTCTCCTTCCTCCGCTCGCTCTGTCTTTCCTCACAATAACATGTTTGTTTAAAGCTGCTTTAATCTTCTGCCTGATGTGTTGCTTTAGGTTTGCTGGCCATTATTCCACAGGTCTGTGTCTTCAGGGGAGAAAATGGAAGTTTGGCTTTCTTGCCAGGTTCTCATCCGTGCCTTTATTCTGGGATAAAGGCCCTTCAGATGCTCTACAACCTTCACAACAGCTTTCTGCCCAAGTGGATTTGTCCGTAACATCAAATTGTTCAGGATCTGAGTGGCAGATCCGATCTGGGACATTG